CAAGCCGGACGGAGGGGAATCAAAGGCTGCTGCGTCACTTTCGTCCACAGGAACAGGCAACAAGGCGGAACGAGGGGCAGCAGGCTGGGCACAAAAAGGAAACTGGTCCTCCACAAAGACGACGTCCCGGGACGTGTAAAAGGTGTTTGTGCTAAGATCAAGAAGGCGATACCCCTTTTGAAACGCCGGGTAGCCCATGAAAACGGATCGCCGACCACGTTCTCCAAACTTGGACAAACCTTTGTGTGTGTCCTTCCCATAGGCGAGACACCCGAAAACCCGTAGGTGACTGTAGGTCGGCAACTTTTGGAGCAAGAGCTCATAGGGGGTGCGGTTGTGAAGAACCTTGGACGGGAGATGATTTATCAGGTACGTCGCAGTGAGTATACATTCACCCCAGTAGCGGAGGGGAATGTTAGCACGAAACCGAAGAGCTCTGGCCGTCTTCAAAAGGTGCCTATGCTTCCTTTCCACGACGCCATTCTGTTGTGGCGTATCGGTACAGGATGTACGAAGTACGATGCCACGCTCAGTATAGTACTGCCGCAAGCCTTGAGTTTGAAACTCGAGGCCATTGTCAGCTTGAATGCGAGCTACCTTCTCTCCGAATTGAGTCTCTGCCATGCTAATGAACATCTTAAGGTACCCTTCCACATCAGATTTATAACGCATAAGATATACCCAGGTTGCACGACTGAAATCGTCAACAATAGTAAGAAAATATCTAGCTGCATTCTGAGTAGGGACCTTGAAACCGCCCCAAATATCCACATGAATGAGTTCAAAGCAACAACGCGTTTTAATAGAACTTTTAGGAAAAGGCAAACGCGTCTGCTTAGCACGCATACAAGAGTCACAAGTATCAACCTGACATTTATTCTGAACCGAATGAAATAAAAGTGAAGCTTTGTTTTCTGAGGGATGTCCCAGTCGAGAATGCCAAAGCTCCCCCACATCCTTCTTACTGCCTGCGGCCAAGGCTTGGGACTCCTTGACACCGAACAGCCGAAGGTAGTACAATCCATCACGAAGTTGACCCGTCCCAATCTTCTTCTTGGAACGTAAGTCCTGGATAGCGCAAAAATCCCGCAAAAAGATCAAAGCGACATCAAAGTCCTGAGTAAAACGACTGACTGAGAGGAGATTGCACTTGAATAACGGAATGTTTAAAACCCGACTGAGTTTCATGCCCTGCGCCAAATTTACCTCACCAACCTGCCGAACCTGAACTTTATCCCCATTCGGAATACTAACTGGCAAATAATTCGATGCTGTCCTCAAATTCTCTAGCATAGCTTCATTATTTGTTATATATTCATTGCACCCAGAGTCAATGATCCAATTAGAGGAATCCGAAAAGTTACCTGCCATGTGTACTTGAGGATCTGCAGTTGATGTTTGAGCCGCTGCTGAACTGGAATTCTGCCCAAGGAATTGAAGGAGTTGCTGCACTTGGTCAGAATTCAAGCCAGGAATGCTCACCGCAGGGCCAGAGTTTGATTGAGCCGCACGAGACTTGTTAGGCCGAGAGCTGCGATGCTTGTCATCCCTCTCCCCACTCTTTTGTCGGCGCTCAGGCCAGCCAATGAGCTCATAACAAGACTCCTTGAGATGGCCTTGTTTGTGGCAATGGCTGCATTTTGGTATCTCCTTGCGATCCCCACGACCTCGTTCTTGATTTCTACCAGCATCACCAGTTTCCCGATCCCGCTCATGCCGAGCCTGAAAAGCCGCGGCCTCCACGTGAGGTCTTTTGTTCGCAGCTATCTGTTTATGCTGTTCTTCAGTGGCCGCAAGACGATAGGCTTCAGCGAGGGTGGGAGTCGGCTTCATGGATAATATTTGCGTCTTGACGGTTGAAAAAGCTTCACCCAAACCCATTAAGAAATCAAAAAGACGCTCACTTTCCAGATTGGTCACAACCTTTTTTCCAACATCACAGGTACACAGGCCGCACGTGCAACGCGGAATTGGAGTGATCGTTTGCATCTCTTCCCAAAGTGCACGCAGCTTGGTGTAGAAGTTTGAGACGCTGAGCTTCTCCTGCCGAAGCGCCGTGACTTCTTGCAGAAGTTCATACGCGCGCGCTGCCGTTCCAGTACCGAACCGAGGCTCAAGATCCAACCAAATCTCCCGGGCTGTCTTGGCATAGCGGATCGAGTTCCTGATCTCTTTGTCCATGGCTGTCTTCAGCCATCCCTTCACCAACGCATCGCACTGCAGCCATGCTTCTCGAATTTCACCCGCAACTTCAGGTTTAGCTAGGTAGCCATTCACAATCCCAAGTTTGTTCTTGGCGATTAAAGCTTCGGTCATATCAGTGACCCATTCTCCATAATTGGAGTCATTCAATACCTCTCCCACGAATAGCTGACCAGGGTTGTATGACGATTGAATCCTTAGGGCTGCGGGGATCACCTGAGGGATCAGATTCTCACCTCCATTGCCGCTACCAGTACCGACTAAGGTACGATCATCAGTGCCGGTTCCGCCAGACATCTCGTGTTAGCTGATTTAGAAAACCCGCTCTGATACCATGAAATATTTGTATGAACGCGGAAACTAAAACGATGAATAAGACACAGTGTTTACGTGGTTCTTCTCATTCGATGTGAATGAGCTTACTCCACGGAGAAGTTTTGCTATCTCAGCTTGTTATTTCATACGTAGCCATATACAAGTATCTGTATATAAAACCGAAAACCCTAATCACCTAGCAGCTAGGGTTCGGCCATCACATGGGAAAAAGCCTTAATTAACCCTTAGTGAAAAACGACTACGTATGGATTTGATAGGAATCCTATAAACTATGTTACTTGAAGCTTGAAGAAGGTTGTGATTTCATCATTCTTACCTACTGGTCTCGAGATAGTGCAGAGAACACAAGGTAACCGACGCTGGTTGTATGGCCCTTTCCCCGACAACGACTTCTATGACATCGGAGAAAAGCTTGGCGAACAACAAGGATGAAACATGGTTGAGGTTGATGAAGGATGGTTGTCGGTGCTGTTGGAGGAGGTTGTAGTGTCGAAGAGGTTCAAAGGTGTGATGGTGTTCTCCTACGTGGGTGGAGGAAGATAAGAAGGGGTCGATTTATGGAAGGGAGAGGTGCAGTTTCTTTCACCGTGGGAAGGGAGCACCAACACTGCAAACCCCATCCTTCTATTTAATTTGCCAACTCATTTTGGCAGTGCATGCGTGATATAGATGTTACAGTTTTGCTTGGTTCTCCACATTGGTTTTTTAATGTAAATTGTCTATCAACTTTTGGTTTATCTTTCACCTTACCTTACCACATATATTTTACACTTCACTCGATTATTTTTTTGTTGCGTACTCGTTGCATCACATTTCTTGCAGTGATAATATCAATGATTAGATCGATTACGTAAACGAAGTTCAGAATTGAAAGAAATATTTATGGTTTGTAATCCCAACTCCTCCATATACGGGATGTGGTCCTTCAAATCATTTTTTTAGGTCCTGTGGTAGAACGTAACATATCAAACACAATATAACACCCATATTCATTAACTAATTCGAGGTCTTTCAAATATCGTCTTTACTTTAAATTTAATAAGGATAAAATAATTTGTCTATAGTTGTTAATGACCTTGATTAGATGGAAACCTAAAACTAAAATTTTTTATCAAATAAGGGTAGCTTACACAAAATATGTATTCGAGGTGGTTCAACATCAACAACAACAATGAAATACCTTGTGGCAGGAGGAGCTCTTCTGGAGGCAGAAGTCGAGGGCTAATTGGACACTCAAGGGTGATAAGAACACGAGGTTCTTTCACACCATTACTGTGACTAGAAGGAAGAGGAATCGTATCACAAGATTGAAAGATGAAGATGGGACTTGGATCACGGACCCTGACGCCATTCTTGAGCTTGCTAGGGGTTTCTATGTCAAGTTGTTTATGAACGAGGCGAAAGAGTCCATGTCCTACCTTGATGCTGAGTTTTCCCACCTGTTCGATCGCTTCTTCTTTCGGATGGGAGCCCCCCATCTATGGAGGAGATTAGGGAGATCATTATGAGGATGAGAGGGCTGAAAGCACCGCGATCTGACGAATTTCATGCCCTCTTCTACCAGAAGCTGTGGGATGTTGTGGGGATTGATTTCTCTAACTGTATCTCTTCTTGTTTCAGGAATCCTGAAGGCATCCGTCCCGTGAATACCACTATGCTTTCCTTGATTCCGAAAACTGAGTCACCTTTGTCTGTGTCTCAATTTCGTCCGATTAGTTTGTGTAATGTGGGGTACAAAGTTGTTGCAAAATGCAGTGCTAACAGACTCAAAAACCTTATGCCCCATCTTATTCATCCTAATCATAGTAGTTTCGTTCCTAAAAGGCATATCACTGATAATATTCTGATCTTGCAGGAGATGGTTCATTTGATGTCGCTGAAATCAAGGAAGAAAGGAGTTATGCTTCTTAAAGTGGACTTGGCCAAAGCGTACGACATAATTGACTGGGAGTTTTTAGAAGACACTCTGAAGCAGGCTAACATTCGAGAAGATTGTGTTCGTTTGATCATGGCATGTGTCACTTCCTCGGAGTTCCACGTCCATTGGAATGGAGTCACTACAGAGGGTTTCAAACCGAGCCGTGGGCTTTGACAGAGATGTCCCTTATCACCTTACCTTTTTTACTTTGTGCATTGAAAGATTAAGTTATTGCATTCATAGAGAGGTGTAGGATGGTAACTGGAAACCGATTTACCTGTTCACTGGAGGACATGCCTTATCTGGTTATCCCACCTTTTCTTTGCGGATGACCTTGTTTTGTTTGCTCATGCTAGCTCGTCTCAGGCTGATATTGTTATGAACTGTTTGGAGAAATTTTGTGTTGCTTTGGGTGAATTGATTAGTAAGGAGAAGTCTAGAGTTTTCTTTTCTAGGAACATGTCTAGCCATGTCCGCAGTGATATTTGTCGGTGTCTTGGGATCCAAGCCACAATGGACCTCGGGAAATACCTTGGTGTCCCAGTCCTGCATTCAGGCTTACCCGTGATACCTACAAATACATTTTGGAGAAAATGGATCACAAGCTTTCAACATGGAAAGCAAAAAATCTTTCACTTGCGGGAAGGGTGACTCTTGCTATGTCTGTTCTGAATGCTATTCCCTCTTATGCGATGCAAACCTCCCCTCTTCCTATTTCTGTTTGTGGAGAGATTGATAGAAAAAATAGAGGGTTTATGTGGGGCTCTCAATATGGGAAAAGAAAAACTCACCTAGTATCTTGGGAAACAATTTGCAAGCCTAAGGATCAGGGAGGTTTGGGGCTTAGAACTGTTAGAGCTCTTAATATTGCCTTTATGATTAAGATCTCGTGGCAAATGTTGAATAATGAGTATGATCTTTGGGTTAAAGTCCTTCAAGTGAAGTATTTCCACCATAAAAATGGAGAAATCACTTCAATGAAAAAGAGTAATCACTCAGTATGTGGAGAGGTGTGGTGAAAGCTATGCCTATCATGACAAGTGCCACGATTTGGAGTGTGAGAAATTGTTGTTCTATAGGATTTTGGAACCATCCTTGGATTTATAATGTGGTTTTTCTTGCTGATTTTCTTACTGTGGATGAGTCGAATGTTGATCTTAACCCACTTGTGTCTGATTGGGTTAATGGTAATGGGGAGTGGGATTGGACGAGAATTAAGAGTTTTCTCCCTGAGCATATTATTCCTTTAATTGCAGGTATGGAGGCCCCAAAGCTGAATCTCGGGGAGGACAAGACTATTTGGGGCATTGAGCGAGATGGAAGATTCAGTTTGAAGTTTGCTTACAAGCTGGCGGCGGGAGCTTTGGATGATGAACCAGACAAAGACTGCAAGCTGTTTTGGAGATGGAAGGGCCCTAACAGAATCAAGCTCTTCTTATGGCTGGTCATTCATGATCGACTCTTCACCGACCACAAAGCTCACTGCAAATGGGAATTGCAACCGTTGCTCTGATCAAGAAGAGACGACAGAACACATTCTTAGATCCTATTCAAAGCAAGGGGAATCTGGAGGACCAACCGACTTCTTCTTATTGACAGAGACCTTACCACTCCATTCCGCGAGTGGCTAATCAAGAACCTGATGGATGAGGACAATGGAGTTAAAGTTGGGATTATTTATTGGAACTTGTGGAAGCAGCGCAATGAGGAAGTTATGGAAGGAAGCACTTTCTCCCATGACTCTCTTATGTGTCGTATTTTTGCCTGGTTCACATTGTGGATCAGGCCTCTATGTGGGAGCAGAGGAGTACTGTTGGAAAGAACCAGGTTCAAATTTGATGCGACCTTTCATGGGAGCTTGGAAAGATGTGCTAAAGTCCAAACGAATGGTTCAGTGTTGACTAGCTCGGGTCAGACTGCAGCAAGAGGCCTCATTCGAGACCATCTTGGGAGGTGTCATGCTGCCATCACATGTAACATTGGATCCTGCTCTATCACTAGTGTCGAGCTTAAGGGAGCAGTTGAAGGACTGTCCTTAGCTTGGAAGAAGGGGTTTAGGAAGGTGTTGCTCAAGCTGGACTCTGCTACAACAATTGTCGTTATGAAAAACAGTGAAGATGACAACCATTGTCATGGACTGATCACTAAGGAAATTGAGCGAATGTTAGGGTTGGATTGGGAGGTTAGAATATCCCATGTGTATAGGGAAGACAACTTTGTTGGTGATTTTCTTGCTCGAAAGGATCATGACTTTCCTTTTGGCACACATTGTTTCGATGTGTGTGACCCAGAACTTTCCTTTTGGTTATCGTATAATAGCATGGGTATCACCCAACAACGTTTCTTCTATAATATGAGCTAACACGCGTTTTGTGTATGTCTTTCTAAAAAAAGGGTAATGTCTATTTTTTATCCAAACCTTTTTCATATTCTTTTATATTATCCAAACCTATTAAAATGCTATTAGTTAGCCAAATCTTTTGTAATGCATCAAAATATTAGCCATTTTTACGTTATCGTTAATAATTTTGTAACTATTTTCATAGTTAAATACTAATATTTTGGAATGTTAACCTTCATGTGTTTCTTCGAAGTCATTATCATGTTGCCAAGTCAATATTACTAACAAAGTTGATAATTGAAAATTAACATTTGGCTAATTCTTAGTATTTTGATAGGTTTAGCTAATAAAAAAGAATCCGAAAAAGGTTTGGCTAATAAATATACATTAATTGAGAAACGGGTTCAGGTGTACCTCGGTGTCCTGTGTGCTGGGCAGAGTCTGAAACAATGGAACACCTTTTTTGGGAGTGTCCAGTCGCTATAGCCCTCTGGACGCATTCTGGATTAGAACATCTAGGCAATGGTTTACCTAGAGAAACCTTTCCTTTCTTCCTTAAAAAATGCTTGCGTAGAGTGACCCAGCCGGCTCAGGTTATGGCTCAGGTGGCTCTGTTATGGCGTATTTGGAAGTCAAGGAATTGGGCTGCCTTTGAGGGTAAGCAGTTCTTGCTTCCTCAATTACTGCGACAATATCAACAGCAGGTCCGTGAATGGGTGAGCTTGCCAGAGGATATAATGGATATGCATCGGGTGCCACAACAGCTAATTTTGGAGGACGGAGACTCGTCGAGTGTCGTCTGTATGTGAGATGGTGCGGTTAGTGCTGACTCACATTCAGCGGGGGGCTGCTCTTGAAGGACGAGGGTGGGAATATGTTGTTGGCAAAGAGGGTGGTTTTTCCTAACATTGTGGATCCTCTCATGGCAGAGACACTTGGTCTCCGGGAAGCCATTCAGTGGTGTCAGGCTCTTGGCATCCATCAAGTTAGGTTTGAGGGTGATGCTAAGGTGCTTATTGAGAAGGTTAATGCCAAGGACGCGCAGGATGGTCGTGTTGGGGTTATCATCTCTGAGATCCCGAGTCTGTTAACTCTGAATAGTGGTTTCCGGGTTCGGTTCGTAGGTCGGAATAGCAATAGGATAGCCCATTGTGTGGCTAGAAAGGCCCTATCTTTGTCTCCGGCTTCGTTTCGATTGTATGATTTTCGTGCCTGGGATGGGTCCAGGATGTAACTTGTGATCTTTTTAGTCCAGGATGTAACTTGTGATCTTATTATCTATCAATATGATTATCATTTGTATAAAAAAAACATTAAAAAAACAACAACGATGAAATGCATGTGTTAATTAATGATTTAATGACACTCGGGTCAGTTTTCGGTCCAACCAACTGAGCAACAGCGGGGTGTTCTAAAAAATAGAGCGGCAAAAAGTTTGGGAGTTGCTAAAGGTCGCCCTTAAAATTGCTAAAGGTCGCCCTAAAAAGAATAAAAGTTACACTTTTGACCCCCATAGCTTCTTTACCTTCCCTTCCTCAAACAAACATCACTTGGACTAAAAAAACACTATCTAAGGAGAGGAAAATGCTCTCATCGTCATTTTGAAGCCGATATCGTCGGTAGGACGTCTGAATCATGAGTAGCGACTCCGACGAGGTAAAAACATGAACTGAAAAAAAAAACACAGAAAATGGGAACCGCGGGTGATTTGCGGTCCGACCATGGTCCAACCGCAAGTGACCTGTGGTTGAACCATGGCCGGACCGCAAATCACCTGCGGTTAAGCCATCGGTGGACCGAAATTGACCTGCGGTTGGACCATGGCTGAACCGCAAATCACCTGCGGTTCAGCCATGGTCCAACCGCAGGTAAATTGCGGTCCACCCATGGCTCAACCGCAGGTGATTTGCGGTCCGACCATGGTCCAACCGCAGGTCACTTGCGGTTGGGCATTTTTTGGGTTTTTTTTTTCGTTGAATAATTTTCTATTTTTTATATGATTTATGATTGTTCCGTGAAATAATTTGTTGGGTTTTGATTTATATAATTTTTTAGATTTATTTGCATAATTATTTTTGGAATTGAAGGATTTAGCATTAGAAATTAAGATTAGATTTGGCCTTAAATTAAGATTAGATTTAATTTGGTGTTAATCTAGAAAATTAAGATTAGATTTTGCATTACAAATTAAGATTAAATTTATTGCATAAATAATAGATTCGCATATGAAGTTATGATGATTATTAAATTTAATACTGATAACATTGCAGGATATTGGAAGTTACAATCCGGATGGCCATGATTACACCTCGGATTTCATTGATGGCGTGAAATACACTACGGAGTTGCAAGCATATGAAGCAGCCACTGAGATTGCAAAGGGTTTTGGGTTTTATTTGGTGAAGGCATCGAACAAAAAAAATAAGAATGAAGGTACTTGGCGACATTACTTACATTGCACTCATGGTAGGAAGAAGAAGTCGAAGGAACCTGATCCGAGTAAGGAAACGAGGCCTCTTACATCTACTGAAAAGTTGGGGTGCGAGTTTCAGATCAAGCTTGAGCGGTCAGGTGATGGATATTGGTTGATCCTAGGGGTGGCAAATACAAAGAATCCTGGTGCTAATTTGGGTTTCCACAATCATCAGTTGGAGCTATTTCCGGAGGGATCAAAGGGAAGGAATGTTTTGACTACAGAGGACAAGCAATACATCAGAGAGCTGAGATCAGCCGGTGTCCCACCAAGGAATATCCACAAGGCAGTGAATGACAGAAAAGGTGCAAATGGAACACACAACAGAAAGCAGATTTATATCGAGTGTCACAAGATAAGGAAAGAAGAGCTTGGTCAGATGACAGCCTTACAGTATACTTTCCGCATGGCGCATGAGAAGGGTTACTATGTGCAGTATATGGACGATCGTAACGTGCTTACACACTTGTTCCTAGCCCACCCCGAGTCAATATTGATGTTGCGAGCTTGGCACCATGTGATCGTGATAGATGCAACATACAAGACCAATAAGTATGATATGCCTTGGGTTGAGATTGTCGGCATGACACCAGTGGGATTGAACTTTGTCATTGCATCTGCAATAGTGTACGACGAGACGAAGGAGTCGTACTAGTGGCTTCTGACGCATTTGCAACATCTTCTTGGCCCCATTGTTCCAGATGTGTTTGTCAGTGACAAGGCAGGAGGATTGGTTGAGACCGTGGGGGTAATGTTTCCATCATCGACTCATATATTATGTCTTTGGCATATGGATAGGAATGTGAGAGCAAAGTGTCTAACGGAGGTGCGAAGGACGACTCATTGTGGTATAGATGCAGCCAAACCGACAGTGGATCATATCATGGCGTCTTGGCAACATGCTGTATATGCATTGACAGTGGAAGACATGGATACTGCCTTAGAGAATTTCAGACGTAGTTGGGGAGTACAGTACCGACATCTATAACATCGGTCAATCGCCCTTTGACCGCGGTCAGCCGTCGGTTCAACCGCGCGTTGACCGTCGGTCTAACCGCGGTTTGACTGTGGTCGGCACGGTTTTTTTTTTGTTACCTTCTTCTTCTCCGACGAACGAGCGCGCGACACCTTCTTCTTCTCCGGCGGCGGCGAGCGCGCGACAGGTAAAGGGCGCGACTTCTTCTTCTCCGGCGGGCAAGGAGACTTCTTCTTCTTCGGCGGCGAGCGCGTGACAGGTAAAGGGTTGTTTGGATTCGTCTGCGCGTCGGTGGACCAGGAGGCAGAGCAGGTCGCCGGCGACGGGAGTGACACGGCGGCAACGACAGGAGCAGGAGGCCGGCGACGGGAACAGCAGAGGGGGAGGGGTTCGCCGGCGGCGACTCGTTGGAGAGGGCGGAAGGTTTGTGGATTCGTCTGCTGCCGAGGGAAAGGTAAAGGGTTGTTTGGTTGTCCTATTTTTTCAATTTTCATTAAGGGTATATAGGTAATATGACATTTAAGTTAGGGCGGCGTTTAGCAATTCTTAGGGCGACATTTAGCGATTCAGAAAAGTTTCTCCGTGTACCCTCCAATCTCCGTAACCAATTCTTCCCCTTCCACCAGATAGCTCTCTTCCGCCGTCAGGCGAAGTCGCTCCCTTTTCGTTTCTTTCTTTCGCCGCCGGAACCAGACGATTGAGAGGACCAAGCATAGAGGTCGGAGTCGATCTCAGTAGCCCTCCTGTCAGAAATTCTTAAAACCCTTTTCCCGCGCTCTTCATTTTCCCCCCATTTTGCCAGTCTGGTGTTTGGGTTTAAGCTTCAGGGAAATGGAGAGATGGCGATTGCTTTCTGGGCGTTTCTTATGAAAATTCTCTGCCTCTTCCTTTGGTACCCTCTCTTTCCCTTTGTGATTATTACTGCTGTTGTTGGATTCGTGCTTAGGTTGTATGTTTGGTTGCTTAGAAATTGAGAGAAAGCTAGACGAGGTCAACCCATTAGGTTTCTCTCCTCGGTTCCAGTAGTAGCAGAATGCAGTTTAGCTTAGACACGCATGCTTCAACTTAAACTCGTTAGTTGTACAACTCTAGGACAGGAGGAGGTCATTTAGCTTCGATTTCCATGAATTCCTGACCTCTATTGATTTCCAGTATTATTTTCTGTCCATTTTTGGTCGTTTCATCTTGCATTTCCTTTTTGTTTGGTGTAGGTCAAACGCCAAGGAAAGGCTCGTTGCTTAGCCCGGAACGCGAGCTCTGTGAGAAATTAGTCATTATTAGAAGACTACCGGTTTCCTTATCACTGTTTCTAGCTTTGTTAGACTGGTAAGGAAATGAGTTTGTCTGTGGTTCTACTTGTCTAACAAGGCTGACTATTTGTTATGCTCAAAGGAGATAGGTCTTTTCATTCTGGTAGTTGCATAAGGATACTGACCAATGAGTGCTTACTATCTCTCCTCAAGCCATTGATTCTACACTGAAAGCTCCTAGAAGCAGCTTCAAGAGGATTGTTTGGTGTAGCTTGTGTTTCAATAGTGGAAAGCACTTCCAGTAATTATGCTAAAGACCAATTCTCACACTGGTTGATAGTATCACAGTCGAAGTTGATAGCTGATTTGATCAACGTGCTATTGCAGAATTTGATCACCAAAGAGTTCAGCCAGGTAGTTAACCACTGGCAAGCTAAAGTGCTAGTTCCCGGCTCTTCAACAGGTGCCATGACCACTTACATTGTTCTTATTGCTTCTGTACCAATCAATTCAAAGAAATAGCACAGTAGACTCGAGCAGTAAGTAAAGAATAACAGTATGCTAATAGATTGGTCCCACATATGAGTCCATTCAGTTTCCGCAGGCAATTTTGCTGAACCAGGAATTGCTGAAGCTATGGAATCCAGTTCTGGAGATTCTTCGGCTGTGCCATGGTCGGAGAAAGGATGGGGCGAGAAGGTTTCTGAGAAGGTGATCATGAAATACAATTCTCTTCCTAAGAAAGGAAAGCCGCAGGGAACAGAAGTCACAGTCTTGGCCGCATTTCTCATTTCACGGTCTTCTAGAGGTCACCCTCTATTTACCATCTCGTAACTCTGAATTTTCTTCCATGTCAGTGGAATTTTCATTTGCTAAAGACCATAAGACTTCTAAGGCTTCACTCTACTTCTTTCTTTTTGCGTCTTGCTGAATTGCAGAGTTAGAAGTGGTGGCTTTAGGGACTGGGACAAAATGCATTGGGAGGTCGCGCTTGAGCAATCGCGGTGACGTTGTGAATGATTCCCACGCCGAAATTATTGCTCGGAGAGCTTTGATGAGGTTCGCGGTTCATTGATTGTTAACTTAAATATTTCCTAGATTCAGCTTGCTGCTATATATTGCTTAATTTCCGTGTGCTAGGTTGTTCTATACAGAGATTCAGAGGCTCACCGAAGTTCCAAACCAGCAAGGAATGGCAGATGGAAGGACACAGTTGCTTGAAGACAGCGCTGACAACCGGTTGTTTGATGTGGATGGGGATGATGGTAACCATGTGAAGTACAAATTGAGAGCTGGGTGGGACTTACATATGTATATCTCGCAGTTGCCATGTAATTGTTGCAAATGTTTCTTATCCTAGTGTGCATTTATTGGTGAATGTGTCTCGATTTAGGATTCGCAGAGTTCTATTGACTCTTGTTAACTGATTTTGCTGTAGGTGGGGATGCCTCTGGAAGTTCACCATTTCTTTCCACACGAAATGCCTTCCAAAAAAGGGAAGATTTAGCGAATGATTGTACGGGTGAGCTTTCAAAAAAGAAGCCGAGGACATATAGTATTCAAGGTTCAACTGCGGGTTTGTGTTAAAAGACATTGGAAAGTTGTTACATACTTGGATGCATAAGTCCAAAGCCTTTCTCATGGTTTGTTCTTGAGCTATTACATTTTAGTTGAGATGAAATCTTATGCATGGCCAATTTTTCAGTGGATGATCTAAGATTTTGTGGCATGGTTCAAAGGAAGCCAGGTCGTGGCGATACAACATTTTCAGTTAGCTGCTCTGACAAGATAGCTCGTTGGAATGTTCTTGGAGTTCAAGGTCAGTTGAATCATTGATTGGCAGGCTGTGGTGATGCAACATTTTTTGTGGTCCATGCATCAATGACCACATCTTCAATAAAGAAAAATTAAACACCATTACCTTTGCAATGAATGATTTACCACTCGAAGAAGTTTTTCCCTGGATGTACTTGGTGTTGGTGCTTGCACTTTCTTAGAGTTTATCCATAATACTGAAATGACTAGGTGTGGCTACTTCTTATTTCAGGAGCTCTGCTTTCACACTTCATTCCACCTGTTTACATTTCCTCTGTTACTGTCGGTAACTCTCCTATTATTGCTGAAAGTTTTCGTTTGGAAGAGCACTTGAAAAGATCGTTGTATGAACGGATCTTGCCATTGTCAAAGGAAGTGTCAAATCCCTATCGAGTACATGAGGTATCTGTGTCACATCAGATTCCCCCCCCCCCCCCTTTCTGTGTGCAACCTATACATTCTGATTATTACCGATTATATTATGAGCAGCCAGTTTTGTCGGTGGCTCCTGTACCACCCAAGGAGTTCCAGCATGCTGATACTGCCCTTGCCACTTTGACCTGCGGGTAAATCACTAATGTTTTCAGGTTTTCATTTACTGGTATTCAATGTTGATTGCCATGCGCTCTTAGCTTAGTCCGTTTCCATAACAATAGGTATTCCATATGTTGGAATAACTCTGGTTTGCATGAAGTTGTTCTTGGGACCACTGGTAGAAAGCAAGGTACCTCTGTGAAAGCTGCTCTTTCTCCGTCCACTCAGTCATTGCTATGCAAGTAAGCTAACTTCAGTTTCTTTAAGCATATCTTACCGTGGACGGTTAATCTATTTTGTACCTCTTCTAAGCAATTGACTTTCTTCTGTTTTCCCCATCAATTACTGTACGATTTTTCGAAGAAAGCGACTGCTGGATCTTTTTTTGGTGCTGAGGCAGGGGTTCGAGAAAACAGACCTTCTCAAGGAGACTTCTTACAGAGACCTCAAGGTTAAGTGTTAATGTTCTTAACCGAGTTGATAATGATAATCCATGAGGGGCATACTTGTGATGGAAATGTTTTTCAGCGAGTTGATACAATCAGCGTAGTTGCTTCCTGTCCTTTAGCATTAGTACCCGCCTACACTAGAACTCGTGATTGAAATTTGGGTTAGGCACAGAAATGTGGTAAACTGCTTTTGCAGAGCATTGTATCTCATAGTACATATATCATAGACTGTGTGAAGATAATTATAAAATGTAAGGTATTTTGGGTAGTAGCAGGATCCATATCAAGACCTTATTTTGGAGACGATGCCTTACCTGGCTGGGGCCTGTTGGGAGCATTATGGATATCTAAAGCTTCTTCGGAGCTTGCTGTATAGTGCCTGAAATGTTCCTGTTCCTGGGAATTCGTTCTGTTGACTAAATAATTTGATTTTGTAAAATTTGCAGAGCAGCGCAAGCGAGTACAGTGAAGCTTCAAAAACATTTAAAGGGAAGCAGCCTTTTGATAACTGGCCGATAAAACCATTGGATCTGGAGGCATTCTTTCAGGCTGGTGGAGTATAGGCTTGCAGTTATTAGGAGATTATGCGTGTGTATTCCAGACAATTTTGGAAGGTTTTGTGAGAAACCTTTGGCATGTGAAATTCAATGTATAATGTGTATGGATAAGTGTATTTGAAATGCACACATATTTGAAATTATGAATTTAAAATGCTTTTAATTTTAATTTATTGTTTGGTTATTCATTTGCTACTTTTTGCTCATTATTTTGTTTAGTATCTATATTACTTTTTCCCTTGCGTGATAATATTGGAACTTTTAAAATTTTACAAACAAGTCACATTTGATGATATTAAGAATTTCAAATCTCTAGTTCTTTATATTGTATTTTAAATTTATAAATAATATACTGGTGGCTACTTCGGTGCACTAAGTGCACCCAACTCTAAAAACGTCCATAATACATCAAATTTTGAACTTTAATTAGTACTCTCAATATAATATAATATGATGATATGATATAGAATCATAACAAATCAATCCATTACCCTAAACCCTTAAACTTCAATTTTGAATCCCAACCCAAAATCCCAAATTGTAAACCTAAACCCTAACCCTAAATCCCAAAATCCTAAATCCTTCAAATTAAAGTAGATTTTGAAATAATTTTTTTCAAATTCATGTGCTTCTTGTTCATAATATCATAAGCAACAACTGATACCGTTTTGACATGAATCGCATGGTCAGAATGACAATTATGAGGCGGGTGCACTGAGTGCACCCGAAAAAGTGGGTGCACCGAGTATGCCACCATAATATACTAAATATGTATTATTTTTCTTTTATATATGTATATATATATATTCTTATCGCTATAAGTAGATGAATTTATGAAATTTGTAAATATATGATGTCTGAAACACATCGTTCGTGTACACGAAGCCAAGGAGAACACGCTAGACCCTGAACTGTAGGAATGGCAATGGGGCAGGTCCGGGGCGGGTATCTCGATACCCATACCCGCCCTGTGGCAGGTCTGCTCCGGGTCGGGTAATTTATCATGGGGCGCGGGTCGGGGCAGGTCGACCCATTGTGTATATATTTTATGCGAAAAATATTAGAATTATTCATTATTTTAATTAAAAGACCATGAAAGAAACCATAATTTGATAAAATGTAGTTAAATTATCTGGATTCCTACTTAACGCCCTAATATTTAAAAATTTCGCCCTAAATAAACAAAACGGACGAATTTACCCTCACTCACCCTAAATCCCTAAAACAGAGCGTTTCCGCTGCCCTGTCGACGTTGTTCGCCCTGAATCCTTCCCCTGTCGCCGGCTCTGCACCCTGCAACTGCCTTCCGCACGAGAGTTGTCGCTGCGATTATCTTCCGCTTCTGCAACCAGACCCAACCGCTTCTGCAACCTGAGCCGGCGGGTCTGTTCCTTCTTCCTCCTCACTGGCGCTCGGCAACAGAGACGATTGGCAACCCGATCGGCGCATTGAGCAGGCATGGCTATTGGCTGGCTCAGGGGAAGGCACGACGGCGCAGCGGAAGGCGTCCTTGATCGGCCAAAGCAGAGCCATGGCGACGAGCGAAGACTTCCGACAACGGACCCGAAGCAGAGCGACGGACGACGTGGCAACAATGGGCAGTTGCGGCGGTGACGGGTGAGGATTTCCAGGCGAACGGTGGCGACGGGATGTCTTTTCTTTTTTTTCCTCGTTCGGTTGACGGCCGGCTATTTCAATTACTCCCAGAAAAACCTTCAATCGCACTCCCCACGAAAATGGAACACTGTGCTTTACGCATCCCTTCCTTATTCTACTTGATTCTCCTTGTTTTGAGCTTCTTCGCCGCCGCAATGGAAATCCTCTCCAAATCCAAGGTCCTGCGGTGCGAGAAAGGCTCCGATTCCGAAGACCTCGATTGCCCTCGTAAGTAGATTTTGGTTTCCATTTCATACCTTTAAGTCTCGTTTTCACTTGTTCCAGGAAAACGGCGGCGACGGGGGAAGAATCTCAGTGCGAACAGCGTCGATGGAAGTGGCTGACAGCTGAGCAAAAACAGGTTAGGGCGACGACGAGGCAATACCAAGGAAAAACGCGGCGTTTTTTTAGGAAATTAGGCCCTGTTATGAATAATTATCCCGATGATGGGAATAAGCAACACCATTAACACGAAATAGAAGAGAAGGAGTAACCCCGCTTTTATTCCATAGTCTCATAGATTGATTACATGGAACCAATATGGAATACATAGAGAAGTGAGGGAGAAGAGGAATGAATTGGTGTGTCTTTCCTTCTTCCATAGCTTTCCTTTTATAGCCATTGAGTGTAGAGTCCAATTAATTGAGATGAAGGATGTGTATGATGGACATCCACTTAATCATAATGGTGATCTATAGTGGGTTAGGTCATTAATTAGGTTGGGAAGATGGTGTTAGTTGGGGTATGTGGGCAATTGACATCCACATATATATTTATAATACTCCCCCTTGGATGTCTATTGATTAAGAACATGCCTCGTTAAAACCTTGCTAGGAAAAACCCTGTGGGACAAGAGTACATAGTTCTTCTGTTATGCGTTGTATACTGCCTCATTAAAAACCTTACCAGGAAAACCCAGTGGGAAAAACCTTTGTGAAGGGAAAAAGAGTGCAGTGCGTAAAGTCTCCCCCTTATGGAGAGATATATCAACATCTCCCTCTCATGGAGAGATCTATCAACAGTTTGAAGGCTTCGAGCTCCAATATATTTTCACATGACGTTGTGGAAAGTAGTATTGTTATAGACAAATTTGTTGGATAGTCATTTAACAAACTTTGCTGGTTCCACAATTTTTCATGAAGTTCGTTATTGAAAAACAAACTTCGTTAAAATATCCTCATATGTATCTTTTCAGAAGATACATGTAATATCACTTTCATATATGATCGTCTAGATCAATCTTTGAGAAATATGTTAAATAATGGATAACTTTATCAAATAGATCATTGTTCTCATAGTGATCTTAAACATCAATATATCTTACTCATTCTTATCATTTGTGCATTTTTTTATATATTTCTTGATGCACATGACTTTCCCTTGCAAATATTTGATTTGCAATCCAGGGGATAGTCTAGTTCTTTCAAATTATTGATTTCAATTACTTTTGAATAATCTTCTAGAGTTTCAAGTCAATCAATAACTTCGTATCTTTTAATACTCTTCTAGAGTTTCAAACATATTTATACCTTTAATCTCAACTTGAAATCATTGTTTACAAATGTGTCGACACCCCAAAGGTGGCAAAGAATTTGTCAACATATTGCCATGAGAAGTTTGGCTCTTTCAACCAATGATTCTTTGTCAGAAGACATGAAGCTATCATTGGAAGATATTCTAGGTAATTCATCTGTCTTCCTCAAATTATAATAAGAATATGGAATTTGAGATCATTCGTATTTCTCCTATCTCGTAGAAACTTCATTGAGATAGTTATTCTAAATATATCGATGCTCATTTAATTTGTTTGAGGGGAGGATTCAATATACTTGAATAATGTTCTCCACAATCTCAACATGTTTGCTTCAAGCAAACTAACCCCTTCAGAGAGTTCCATATGAATTTCATCATTAAGCATGCTTTAGTATCAACCTTCATTAGACGCATATATAACTTTTATATACTGCCAAAAGTCATATCCACCATATGGAAGTTTTCCTAAGTCAATGCCAATTATTTTGCGAAGACCTTCATGACAAGTTGAACATGATATCTCTTAATTTCTCCCCCTTTGTCATGTCTTCGTAAAACATCATCTGAGTTTTACTGGCATCGCTTCTGTATAGCTCTTATGACTTCTTCCTGTTTAGGCTAGTTCATAACTGCCTCAAATGCGTCGTTACAACTTGGTCTATAACCTTTTTAAGGTGATCAATGGATCTAACTTCACGATCCTCTTTCATATCATATTACGAGCTACAATATATGAAAACTCTATCGTCAACGTTGACTTCCTTTCGATTCCATTGAATCTCATCCAAGATATAATTTATTGGGATTTCTTTCATAATCCCGAAATAGGTACCTGTGGTTCTTCCAGACCAATGTTATAATACTTGGAGATTCAAATAAGCTTGCAATATCCTCATCATAAAGACCATCTTTATTTTGAGCTCCTTATATTTTTCGAGGACTTGTATTTCCTTGGAATCGATTGTTCAACACATTACATATGTGTGTGCAACATATTTCTCAGGGATATAGTTCTTAGGAGCATTAGCAGCTTTTGTGACTTAGTCACTCCTTTGTGATCATTAATTATGCCTGGCAGTAGGCTTGCTAAACTTGGCAAATGAATTATCATTGAACTTCAAGTTCACATTACAAATGTGAGGATCATAATTCATTTCAACCAAGTTTAGAATCAGCTGCTTATTTCCCCCCCCCCCCCCTGATATAGTAAAGACCGAAATAACGATTGCAAAATAATGGAGACTTCTTGCTCAACATTAGTTTCCAATATCCTTTGAATAACCCATCTTTGTAAATTGTGGTGGAACAATTTACAACATATAATCTATCATAAAGTCTTTGATGAGAATTTTAAGGTTCCTGACCAAAACCAATTTGTACAGGGGTTTAGTAGTGACAACTTCTTGGCATGATGCAAAATCGATACTGCTACATGCAACTGCATGTCTTCAATAAGTTGTTTCACATGTTTATGCACAAGCATGTGCTACATGACATTTCATATTGAAACCAATAATATGAGATTTAAATCCACCAATAATCATCGAAAAGTATTCTCTTCATATTGAACATTGATTCATATATGCCCGTAAGTGAATCAATTGTGCAACCAATCTTGCAAACTTCAGGTTGCAGGTGGAGTGATCATTTAGACGATGCATCGATTAAAACCATAAAATAACTAAATGATCCATATGGTGCGTTGATCCAATAGTTTCACATTGTGGAATTTTTGATAATATTCTCAACAACGATTTACATGAATTCTCGATAATACTTTGCATCATAATTGATCCAGGATGGTCCAACCGGTCATGCCAATCAATCAATTTACAACAAACATAAACTTCAGGTTTATGGTTTGTTTCGTTACCTTTTGCTTTAGGAAGAAGGACTAACTAAGAGTAGTAAATCAACATAATAACATGTATTATGCAATACGTTAAGAATAAGGTTCAAGCCTCATTGAAACCATATTTCGAACCCTAAGGATTCTTTTAATAAACATATCACTATATGTGGTAGATATGCTTCTGGCATTTAATGTGGGTTGTGCTTACGACATATTACCCTACCAATGGGAAACTGTTGGATACAACATATAACACAATATCTCAGTATTGTCCCCTGATAATTTCGATATGCTTCTGGCATTTTGTGGGTAATGTCGACCGACATATTACCCTACCTCTTTTGTTTCTTTCAAAAATTTCAAACCGAAATCTTCTCAATATTATCCAAAATCTACCACATCAACATCCTTATCTTATCCCCAATTTCGGCTATAAAACAACAACTTTCCTCCTTTTCATTTCATTCTACTCAAACCAAAAAATCATACATCATCTCTCAATTCCATCATTCTTCTTCCCTTCTTGGGAACTCTTCTCGTTATAAGTCGCTTCAGTGATCTTATCGAGTTCGGGGTGAAGCAATGGCTGAAGAAATCTCTTCCTTTCTAATCTTGCTTTGGGTGTCATGGATCTTTATGATTTTGTTTCTCATTGAAATACTTATCTTGCTAGAGATACACTATCGCAATCATGAACGCTACGTTTCGATACACAAACGCGAGGATCATAAGCATGACTAGATATTTTCTAGTCTTTGATCCATATATGGTAGTATGAAAAATGAGACTTAGATCTCAAATCATGTATGATGTATGAATGCTATGAATAAAGTGAAGTTTAAGTACTTCATTGTATCAATAAATCCAAACTTTACTTCCGGAAAGTTTGTGGTATATACTATATTCATCATCATTTTTGGAGTCACGTCATAAACTGATCATTAACTTCATTGGATCATCTTATGAGTAATACCCCATGAATCATTATATCAAATGGGCGTATAATCAAATCCGGTGTGTCCCACCTTGGATAAGCCCTTAAATGCTTTGCCATAAAAATCTTCAGGATATGATCACTTTATTCAAATAATTCTTGATTAAATCCATGAAACGATTCAACGTACAACTGGTACGTTATATGGACAATATCTTTGTCCTTTTCAATAAATCGTTGATTCAACTAATGAATCTATTTGACGTACCACTGGTACGATAACGTTCTTGCATTTTCAATCACTGACCAAATAAACGTTTCACTTCTGGTGAATGTTATTATGGTTGGTATTTTATAATCATTTTACCAATCGACATTTTGACATCGTCGTTTTTCACATTCACTTTTGGGAATGGAATTACATTTAGGCAAAATACAGTTGTATATCCACAACTATAAGGTTTGTGACAAATATATCCACAACTATAGAAATACATGAAATATCCAAAAATTGGAAGATTGTGTGACAAATCTATCCACTTTCGTTTGAAACTATAACGACGTGTCAGACGACATTAAATTGACTAATGGAATGCTAAACCGATGCCATCTCACCTGCCACATAAGCCAAAAAGCAACCAAACTTTACATCGTTATCTGTTAGACCTCGCTGCTGCAGTCTTCTCTATTGGTGATTTGGTTAGATTCAAGCTTTTTTTTATTTGAGATTCAAGCTTTGTATCACCATGGCGCCGACTACATGGAAGCCGTCGAGTAAAAGGGAGGCAATGGTTGGAGATTGTGGTTGGAATCGAAATCTGGTCTTGGGGTAGGGTGATTTGGTGGTGGAGGCGTTGATCGGAGGAGGATCAATGGTTATCGGGCGTGTTTCTGGGTTGGATTTTTAGTCTCGCCGTCTGTTGTTTTTAGGGTTTTTTTTTATCTCTTTTAATCCACGTCATTCAGTGGGGTCAGAAACACGCCAACTAAGCATCCACCGTCTGTTCATCAAGTTAACTGACGGAGTTAACGGAGTGGACGGAAATGAATATTTTGTGTATTTCGATAGTTGTGGATATATTTGTCACAAACCTGATAGTGGTGTATATATTTGTCACAAACCTAATAGTTGTGGATATACGACTGTATTATGCCTTTATTCAACTAGCCTATTTGGCATCTACGTGTAAAGTTTGCTTGCTTTTTGGCTTATGTGGCAGGTGAGATGGCCTCGATTCAGCATTCCGTTAGTCAATTTAACGCCATCTAACACGCCGTTATAGTTTTAGATGGAAAGTGGATAGATTTGTCACACAACTTTCCGATTTTTGGATATTTCGTGTATTTCGATAATTGTGGATATATTTGTCACAAACCTGATAGTTGTGGATATACACCTGTATTTTGCCTTACATTTAAAGAGGTTTTTCATATCCCACATATCTGGTTTATCCACCGATCTTTTGATCTTAACCCTTTTCACCATTTATTCATATAACTTTCAATAGTTATGAATTCCTTTTACTTGCTACCTTTGGAGCATAACAAACAATTATAGTAACAACAATAATAATGCCAAGAATTAACTAATCATAACTTAGTAAATATGTTATATAAAGATTAGTCAATATATGCCATGTAACCAAGTTACTTAAATCATACACATCAAACCACATTATCTATCAAACACATTATAAAATAAAGTATATATAATGTCGGTATACACATAGTCACATACAGTACAAAGTATATAATGCATACGGTGCATTATTTTTCCTTTCTTGCATATATATATTTTTAGTAGATAAAAACAATTATTACTATGCATGTGGCAAGAATTGTTATAACATAATTTGTGAATTATCATTCAATAGAGGGAAAATAATATGGGAGTTGTGTACTAACCAAATGGATGCGACCGCGTCAAAAGTAACTCTTGACCACTATTGATGAAGTTCCTCTCTCCGACAAATGGATGAATAAATCTCTTGATATTCTGATGGTGAATACTCGATCTCTCACTGGTGGAAATTTCTGTTTTGGTATTGTTGTAGATCGACAGGACCTTAGGCGGGCTTCATGACTTCATGTCAATGGTATATTTCTCAAATCTATTGGATTTTGAGTACGTAAAACAATCCTGATAATAGTAAAAACTTGAACTTCCAAATTACCTTAAGATCAACAGGATCTTAGGTATATAATATCGAGATAATGGTAAAAACTTTCCTTTCATATTTTCTTAAGATCTATAGAATCTTGAGTATAAAAGAAGGTAAACTTCAACTTTGGAGTTGGCTCAGATCGACATGATCATGATTACATAGAACAATCGTGCTAATGGTAAAAAGTTTATACTTCGAAATTTGCTCAGATCGATAGGATCTCAAGCACATAGAACAATGGTGCTGATAACGTGTTGTGAATAATTATCCCGATGATGGGAATAAGTAACACCATTAACACGAAATAGAAGAGAAGGAGTAACACCGCTTTTATTCCATACTCTCATAGATTGATTACATGGAACCAATATGGAATACATAGAGAAGTAAGGGAGAAGAGGAATGAATTGGTGTGTCTTTCCTTCTTCCATAGCTTTCCTTTTATAGCCATTGAGTGTAGAGTCCCAATTAATTGAGATGAAGGATGTGTATGATGGACATCCACTTAATCATAATGGTGATCTATAGTGGGTTAGGTCATTAATTAGGTTGGGAAGATGGTGGTAGTTGGGGTATGTGGGCAATTGACATCCACATATATATTTATAATAGACCCAATTTTAATAGTGGCAAAAACGTCAACCTGCCTAAGTTAGGGAGACAAATTTAAAAAATAAGGGCATTAATTAGTATCTCTCTAAATTATTGGAGAAATTGAGTTTTTCACTTATTTACAACTTTATTATACCTAAAATATGATGTAATAAGAGGATAATGCTAAGTAATTTTACTAAGATTACATGTAACTTAGGCCAGAACGGGTCGAGAATGGGGCGGGTCAGGGAAGGTAGGGTTGATGAGAGGTACCCATTCCCGCCCCGCCCAAAACAGGTCAAACAGGTAAGGTCAATCGGGTCAGGTTGAAATTACCATCCCTACTGATCTGATGGCGAATTCACAACCATACGAATGCATGGACCATGGAGTGACTTGACTCGAGGAGTAGTTACACCACGCCAAGTCATCAGCAGTAGACTTGAGTCGAGGAGGACTTGACGCCAAATTGAAGAACAGAATATTAATTAAGCAGATATAAATAAAAGAGACCCTAATTGCAACAATCTTGAATATAATTCTCCAGATAGAGAGGAGTAATTTCAGAAAAAGAACGAGGACAGGGAGATCACATACGACGTATTATTATTGCTGCAGCTGCTTCATAACTGCATCTCTATGGCTGCAGGCTGTGTTGTTGTTTACGATCCCACAATGGCAGCTGTTTGGAACACGAGCGAATCGGTCTCCTTGAGCTCAAATCCTCGCTCAACGATCCATTGAGCGGCCATTGGAATGGAGTTCGTTGCAATCCCACCATAGGGAAAGTCACTAAGCTCAGTCTTTCCAATTCCAACTACGCCAACTCATCAACTAGGCCGAATTTGAATACTTCCTTGTTCCTTCCTTTCCAAGACTACTTGAGAGTGCTTACAGTGCACAATATCCTTGGTTGTATGGAGAATGAAGGTAGGTTATCATCAGTTTCTTTCCTACGTACATTAATCTTAATTTCTTGCATTACAAGTTTTGATTTCCGTAATAGTAAACGGTTAATATATATGCATCTATTTGCAGGGTGGGCTCCTGGTTTGGAACGTCTTGAAATAGATGACTCCATCATCGTTGCATGCAACACCTTCCTTGAGATCCTTGGCACCAAAATGACCAATCTTACTTTCTTGACGATTCATGGAGGGTCGAGTCTAAGCTCCACTATTCCTCAAGGTATAAAAGTTCAAACTAGCTACTGGTTTTCTTAATTATTTGAGCGGCAGCGGACAAGGTAACTCTAAATTTCCAACTAGTTTGGCTAGATTTGTCTTTGCCGCATGGTGATGCTGCAGGTGGATATGTCGGCCATTTCCCTAAATTTCTCAACCATCAAACCAACTTGGATACGTTTCTATCTCAGATTTCAACATGAAGGGAGCAGTTGGCTTCCCGTGGTGGTTGCTGGCTAACAACACATACTTACAGTTTCTAGATTCTCCAACTGTTCACTTTCAGGGCATTTTCAGTTGCCGACGATCCCCCATCATCGACACCACCGAATTTATGGAAATCTAATCAGTTTAGATATCTCTAGCAATGACTTCTTGCCTAGCCCGCTCCCACATGATATTTGCACTTTCTTTCCCAATATACAAGCTCCATTTTTACCTGACAATAATTTCTTTGGCAAAATACCTTCTTGCGGATATTAATTATTTAGTCATCAAGTAATTAATTCTTTGTCCTCCAAGTCTCTCGTTTCCTTGTCATTGTCAAAGAAGGAAACTTGATTGTCATTAGAATTTTAAACCTACGTATATCTCTATATAAGCTTAGCTATGAGATTGTCGTAAGCAAGCCGTCACAATGTAGTCCGTAATAAAATATCAGTGGTGAGCTTGTTCTGAGCTCACCGTGTATTAGTCTCGATCAATCGATCGAAGCTTCCTTTTCGGTGCTCTGGTCAGTCGTCAGTCTGCAGTAACGTCAATCGTTTGCTAGCAAACAGATCCAACCCAGCAGCACATCAGACCTTCCCGATGTCAAAATCCATCATCTCCGGGAGATCTTTCCTTGGTCCTCGTAGGGTTTGACATTGGTATATTAATTATCTTCAATCTTGGGTTGCAAGCTGTATCCTTTCTATGTAAAATAGTTTGTTTTCACAGCAATCGACATTGAGTGAAGTTCTGTCTTACGGCTTCCATCCTTAAGCTTGTCAAGTCGTCATCAGTCTTGTTCTCGATCATTGTCCTTTGCGTCTACATCGTTGTAGCCTCACTAGGAAAGGAATCGGGCCATGGCCAGCATAGCGCCGCCACCATCGCCGAGAAGGCTTATCTTCTTGGCGGCAGGTTGTCTTCGTCAAGCACTCACCATTGGCTTTTTGATCTCATCATCCAGCTACATCCCTGCTGCGTCACCATCTTTTGCATCACTATATATCATGGGGTTCTTTGATTTGAGATCTCCGAGGGTGCATTAGTTTGGATTGTCAGTTGCTACAGAGATCGGTTGGAAGTCATCATCATTAGTTCCAAGAGGTGTGAAAAGTTTAGTCAAATAAAATCTTTACCAATGGTGTTGAAGGAAATTGTGACTTGTACTCTTGTAGTCATTGTCCCTTCAATAGCTAGTGTTGGGAAGAAAGAATAGGTTTCGTCAACAAAGTTTTCCAGTCATCAAGCGAGGCAGTCACGATCAAAGAAGCGATCGTCCCTCCACGTTCAACATCGGTCAATGTTGAGTCATCACCATTCTAACTTTCATGGTGGGCATTCACGTCGTTCATGCTCTAGTTTGAGGGGGAGAATAAGGAGTCAATTCGTCCAGGAGATGCAGTCAGTCATCTCCACCATATCATACGGATAGACGCAGTCAATCGTCTCCGTCAAGTCAGTCTTCAGGAGATGCAGTCAATCGTCTCCGTCAGGTCATTCAAGATTCGCAATCAACCATCTCCGTCACAACGTTCAAGAAGATGCAGTCAACCGTCTTCATCAGGTTGATCAAGGGAGAGAGTCAGTCGTCTCCAAATCAACCTCGTCCGAGATGTTATTCATCTCGAGTTTTGTTGTTCAAGCTTGTCATGCTTGTTCGTCACATTTTCTTTTTCAAGCTCGACATTCTTGTCATCATGTTTTTGCTTAAGGGGAGTCTTGCGGATATTAATTATTTAGTCATCAAGTAATTAATTCCTTGTCCTACTTATCCTCCAGGTCTCTCGTTTCCTTGTCCTTGCCAAAGAAGGAAACTTGGTTATCATTAGGGTTTTAACCCTACGTCTATCTCTATATAAGCTTAGCTAGAGATTGTCGTAAGCAAGCTGTCACAATGTAGTCCCTAATAAAATATCAGTCGTGAGCTCGTTCTGAGCTCACCGTGGATTAGTCTCGATCAATCGGTTAATCGAGGATACCACGTAAAATCCATCTCTTTTGTGTTCGATTTCAATTTCGCATAATCAAATTCTACATACCTCCACAATGGTTAAACAGTTCCTCATTTAGAGTATTGGACGCTAGCAAGAATCAATTGTCGGGTGAGATTCCAAAATGGATTTGGAATGTGTTGAGACTCTTTGTCCTAGACCTTTCAAGGAATAAGCTTTAGGGAGGTCTACCACCAGGTTGTTTCATTTCACCATTGACATGAGAAGTTTAAATGTAAGGAAATCAACTAGGAGGTACCTTATTTGATCAAGATGAGACTTCGGTTGCTGCTAATGAAATTGATTATTCAGACTATTCATTAAGCGTCTTGGATCTCAGTCACAATCATTTCACAGGTAAAATCCCGAATTGGATTGCCAGTCTGAGACCTCAATTACGCTATATCTTATTGCATGACAACCAGTTTTATGGAGAGGTTCCAACAAGGTTTTTCTTCAAGAATTCAAAGTTGATTGATCTTTCACACAATCGTTTGTTTGGTAATCTTGCCTATGAATTATTCTTATCGAACAACACCAATGGCAGAGCATGATCGGGAATCCACAACCCTATTGGTCATATGGAGTTTGTCACAAAGACACATTTATATACTTACAACGGTGTAATTCTCTCTTTAATCTATGGTTTAGATTTATCAAGAAATAATTTCACTGGCAAGATCCCTACCGAGGTTGGTCAACTGGACTACATCAAAGTTCTCAATTTGTCACACAACAAGTTCACAGGAGATATCCCGTCTAGTATCGCAAACTTGTCACAGATTGAGAGTTTGGATCTCTCTCACAATAATCTCAGTGGAGTGGTTCCCCATCAACTCATGGATTTATATTCTCTATCATCTTTTAGCGTGGCTTACAACAATTTATCTGGTACATGTCCTCAGATGATTGCACAGTTCAATACATTCGATCAAAGTAGCTATGAAGGAAATCCTTTTCTTAATTGCACATTACCACTCATGACAACAAATCCATCAGTAGGACATACAACTTCTGATGATGATGATGATAATAATGATGGAGAAGGAGGGTTCATTGATATGGAGAGTTTCTATGCAAGTGAATCGATATCTTACGTCATGGTTTTGCTGATAACTGCAAGTATTTTGTACATAAATCCATATTGGCGAAGAGTATGGTTTTATTATGGTGGGGTCACCATAACTACTAGTTATTATTTTATGGTGCACTATCTTCCTTTGTCGGCCAGATACAAGGTGTGGGAACCTCGCATATAGTTGGTGATTTCGTGAAAATGAGTCGTGATGATAATCCTTTTTTGATGTAAATAAGTGGTCATGGATAATTATCTGTGAATGTTAGTGGTTATAATTTTCCATATTTATCCGATCAAATTTTCCGAAGTATAAAACCTTCGAAGATCAGCCAATGATGAATTATGATTTATATTGGTTCACAACTGCGTCCATTATGGATAATCCTTTCAACTGCAATGCAGGGTTCATTCATTATTAGCCTAATTATGAGTTGTAGTTTGTCACAAACTCACAATGACAAAATGTGATAACAAATTTTATATATCACTCAATCAATGCTCTTTTCCGTGAGAAGAGATTGTTACGTGGATTTCTCCGGGAAAAACTTTCTCGCAACGTGCGTCGTAATAATTGAACTATAAACGTAAGTAAGAGACTTAGAACGAAGAGATTTGAGATGAAAGAGATAAACTAACAACTACTAATGAATTCTCATCTTCAACTTGACATTAAATTGGTGAATGACTGCATATTTATAGGCTAGGAAAACCCCAAAACCCCAATCCTTCTCTACCTAGGCAGGCGACCTCCCTCTCTTTTTTCCTACCCAAAACATGAAAGCTATCCCACAAGGTTATAATATTTAACTGCTAAACAATCATCCAAATCCTACTTGAACAATAAAACAATAATAAAGATAAATAATAATCAAATACTAGAATAATAAAGATACACAAGCTCAAATCGAGGCTCAGTTATTACGATGACTTGATTCTTGTACAATCCTCATTCCTCCCCCCTTCAATGCAACCTTACCCTCAAAATTGGTCATCTTCGTGAATGAATTGACATTCCTCCTCGTCGGCGCAATGGAAACATATGACCAATCGTAAAACTTTCGTAAAACATTCTGTTGGCGCAACGATGACCAATCGTAAAACTTTTGTCGCAATGGAAACAAAGTCATTTCGCCTGTTGAGATATTGAGTATCCTATAATTATTGGGCCATGTTCATGTACGTAGGTGTAAAGCCCAATGGGAAGTGTTGGAGCTAATAACACTCGGCTAGGGTTAATTGCTGTAGCTAGCCGAGTTGTTTATATAGTGTGTTTGGAGTTTGGTTGCCGCAAAACAATAACAAGAGACATATACTTTCCCGTGGACTAGCCTTGTTCATCACGAACAAGGAAATCACGTAAATCTTGTCCCGTTTTGATTATCTATTTCGATTAACATGATATCAGAACTTAGCTCTATGGAGGTCGATAGCACCAACACGAAGTTGAATTCGAAGAACTTCACGTTATGGGTATTTTAGTTTCGAACGTTCATTGATGGTCAAGGTTTTGCTTGTCACCTTGACGGATCTGTGAAGAAGCCGAAGGTCCCTCCTGCAACTAAACGGGAGCTTGCAAAGTGGGAACAATCAGAATCTAAGGTACGATCTTGGATTTTAAAGTCTGTGGATCATTCGATTGTTTTGGGTCTTTGTCTTCTTCATACTGTAGTCGTGATGTGGAAGTTGCTGCATGATACGTATGCAACAACAAGTGTAGCACGAAAATTTGAGCTCGAGATTGAGCTGGGTAACACTACAAGAAAATAAATATTTAGCAACTAATTTATTGCGTCACACATTGTAAATGACTCTAAAAGTATTTTATTGCGACAAATATACAATATGCCTTTATAACAATCAAAATATGTCCCTAATAGCTTAACTATTTCATATTTTAAGATCAATTTAAATTTATTATTTGTTTTTGCGTCAAATTCCCAGTAATTGTGATCTAATTAAAGACTTGGTTGATTTCGCTTTAGGGGCAAAAAGCCTATTCGTCGGAGGGCTAAAGATAAATGGTTACTGACCTTTAGTAACTAAATCTGGATCTTCAGATCTAAGTGGACCCAGAAAATCCAGATCTAAGGATTGTGAATTAAAGACATTTTATTTTCCCTAATTTTTTTAATCGGCTCTTTTCTTCTTCATTCTAACTCGTAACTCGGATTTCAATTTTTTGTTTGTACAGATGGAACGAGTTCGTTGTGCTCTACAAAATGAGATCAATTTTCAATATTTTTTAAGAATTTTTTTCATACCTCCCGTTACCAACTCCATACCATATTGTAATTTCTTTGTTTTTAAGTCATTTTTGAAAATATTTGATCAGAAGGAACGAGTTCATCATGATCTATTGGATCTACAAAGTTCTGGGTGAAAAAAATACAGGACAAAAAATTATCATACTTTACCACTTTGGTATGGGGTTGGTAACTTGTGGTAAACAATGATGAAAATCGTAAATGACAGTTTAGTATACTCCGACTATCATGTATTCAACCATCCTAGAGTCTTGGTATGTTTATACCATCATGGTACGCTTTCTTACCATATGGTATGCTCCTATTTAATACTATGTCCATATGGTATTGACTGGTAAAAATTGTCTCAAATTTTTTTGTTCTAAAAATATATCAAAGTGAATATTATTTTAAAGAGCACAATTTATCTGATTTATCTATGAAAAAAATTTAAATTTCGACTTAAAACGAGAGAGAAATCATTTTTTAAAGATTAATAGGAAAAAGATAAAATGCTTTCATTGAGAGAGAGAGGGATGCTGATGTAGACGGGTTACTCATTGTAACTCACCCTAATATTACTAACCTGATCCGCTCCCTAGTCGGAGATCTAATTTTAAAGAAAAATAAGAAAGTTGGTTTTGCATTTTAAATAATATATGCTAATATATGCATTGCAAAAAAAAAAATGCAGATTAATTTCCTGCAGCAGATAATCATTGTTCCTCTAGACGTATTTTTTGCCTAGCACATTTATCTGCCTCAGATTGCTTTGCAATTTTTTTGGGTATTCAACGGGCGCTAAAAGCTCCCAGCAAACGATCACGAGACAAGTCTGGGAGTACTGCTCCCTGCAAGATCAAACAGCGACCAATGACTCAAGGAAGTGCAAGGGCTAAGAACCAAATGAATGCCCATCGATTTGTGTTAGCCAGTCGAGGTTAAGTAGTCGGCGGCCAGGTTTGCCTCTCTGAAAATGTGTCTCATCCGAACTTCCCACCCCCGATCCAGCATCCTCTGAATCTGCATGACAAGTTGGTAATGTGGATGAGAGGGCAGCGCCTTGTCCACTAGTTCTAGCGCTGCTAGAGAATCAGTCTGCAGCTCCACTTTTCGAACACCCAACTCCCAGGCACACCTCAATCCCTGCAAGATCCCCATCAACTCGGACCTTGTTATCGAACCCCCTCCTAGATTCATTGTGAAGCCACCCAAGAAACGCCTAGCCTCATCTCGAACAACTCCTCCTGCGGTCGAGATTTGCATTGGTAGTGAAACCGAGCCGTTGGTGTCAACACAATGCCACCCCGCCTGCGGTGGTTTCCACCCGACCCATTTCCACATCTTATTTTGCTCCTTACCCAGGGGGCCTGTACTTTCTCGAAAGCCTCCTCCATTTGTTGACTCACCCTCATCGCACTACGTTGGAAATCCTGTACCTCACCCAACTTCTTTTCAAACACGTGAGTATTCCTATTCTTCTACAGCAACCAACATACTACAACATATAGTGTCGGTTTCACCCTTGAACTCCTGGCCTTTAAATAGCGCATCATCCAAGCATTAGCATCCTCCCGAAAGAATTGTCAGTTTCATCCTCCAAGAAGCTAGCCCAGACGACCCTTGCATAGGAGTAGTCCCTCAAGACATGTAAAGTCGTCTCATTGCTGTTACCGCACACCGGACACACATTCGACCCAGACAGGTGACGTCGCTGCCTCTTGGCGTTAGTGAGGAGCCCGCCATGTGACAAAAGCCAAAATAAGGTGTGGATTCTCTGGATAGTGGGTATCTTCCAAATCGTTCTCCATAGGAGTTGACTAACCGGCAGTGCCATTTCCTCATTGATCAGCTCGTAAGCCATCTTCAGTGAGAATCGACCATTCGTAGAGAAACACCATACCGGTTCATCCGGAGCAGCCTCTCGGTGGATCTCGTGGAGCTGAATCTGCTCCACTAAACTCAGATGCAAGAACGCACGGAGATAGTCCAAGTTCGAGTCGTCATTGAGAACCATCTTCGCCATTGTGAGGGACCTCGCTTCCCATGGAAGGTTAGCCGCCATCTCAGCCAAAGGAGGTCCATCGTGCAGCCATCTATCGAGCCAGAATCTTGTTTGTCTACCACTCCAAACATTCCGCATGGTAGCCTCTGGTATGAGGTGTAGAACTCGGAGCACACCCCGGCAAAGGTTTGACAAGCGGCCTGAAGTTCTTGGTCGATCAAAATCCCCTTCCTTTCTCATGTACTTGCTCCTTATGACCTGTGCCCAAAGATTGTCAGCCTTCTGCGTTAAACACCAAGCTATTTTAAGCATAAAGGCACCATTCATTTTTGTCGCATCTCTCATGCCCAATCTGCCTTCATCCTTCTGTCGACAAAGAGTTTGCCAATCCAGGAGGTGGATTTTGCGACCTGCTTCAGAGCTGCCCCATATAAAGGCTCTCATCTTCCTGTCAATGTAGTCTCGAACACTAGCATGTAAGAGAGTGGTCTGCATTGTGTAGGCTGGTAGTGATGCTAGAACCGATTGAGCCAACGTGATGCGCCCTGCAAGAGAGAGGGTCGAAACTTTCCGACCTGCAAGTCGGGAATCAATCTTGTCAATTAGTTCCTAGAAGGTGGCTTTTGAAACTCGATCGTGAATCATCTGGACACCCAGGTATCAACCCAGATTTTTGGTTTCCGGAATCCCCAGACTATTGCCCATCGCTGCGGCTAGGTTGCTTTGAACATTCTTGGAAAAGAACGCTCTTGACTTCGGTTTGCTGATCTCTTGTTCGGACGATCCACCAAAAAACACAAACATCTCGTTAATCACCTGGACCTATAAGTCATCAGCTAACCCAAAGAGAATAAGATCATCAGCAAAGAATAGGCGGGACAAGCTCGGTCCTGCCGCTGCGTGCCTGATCAGCTGCCAATTGCCTTCCTCGAC